TACTACTGCCCTTTCATCCTGCATTGGCTGGGAACTGAAGACTACAAATATCTAGCTATTTGTAGCCATGTGTCAGGTCTCACTTCAGACACGCACAGTGGGCTGAGTCACCCATCTGCAGAGTAGAAATAGGATGAGTTGTTGGCAACTTTCGTGGTACTGAAATGGAATGTAGGGAAGAGGTATGGTTTGCACACATTTAGGCACAAGCAGCCATTGATCTAGTGTGTCCATAATTACTGTCACTCAGATAGACACCTGAGGTTCCCTGGCAGATAAGTAATACACTCCACTTCTATTATCTTTCTCATGTTGTCTTTGTGCTGTTGTGGGAAAGGAACAATGTTCACATCATTTTCTGTAATGCAGTAGCCTATACTGCTATAGCCTGCTTACAGATCTTCCTACTTGCACAATCTCCAATTTAGAGACTTGGGAGGACAGAGATTGTAACAACATCATGTGGTATGGATTGAATTTTCTCTAAAAATCCAAAAGACAGGAGGATGATTGCTTAGAAAGACTAAAAAGCCTCCACAAATCAAAGGGGGGGTGGGGGGGAAAAGACCATTTTAATTTATTAAGAGAGACAATAAGCATCAAAATAAAATTATGAGGTGAGCAGGTGCTTTCTTCCTTACATATGTTGCTTTTCATAGTATATTTCTTCTTTTGTAGCTGAGTTAGTCTTTTCATTATTCTTTGAAAATTCAGGAATATTTAATGTCACATACAATTACAAATGTAGTATATGAATAAAAGAATGCTGTGACATAAAAGTGAAACCTAAAAAAGAGAGAGAAAACAAGCTCTAGCACGTGAAAGAAAAAAAATATTTTTTTCCTGGGAGACAGACCACAGAAATAAATATGTATCTAGCTGACATTTCTTTGTACCTTATTCAAGCAGAATAAAACTAAAATTATCTCATATGCCTATGGGCTGCCCTGGTGTAAGGCACAGAAATGTAGAAGGGATTATTTCATATGTGCATTTTCATTTGCTTCCTTTCTAAGATAAAGAAGCAGCTCATTCTAGTTGCTGAGAAATCATTTGGTAAAGTAAATCCTTTAAAAATAGAAGCCATTTCCACTTAAATATTTTTCAGACACTTCATGGTATAAATGAAGTACTTTAATCAGGGGCAAATCCAGCTGCTTAGACTGACTTGGGAAAAAACATTACATAAGACAGTTAAAAATAAAAATATAATTTGGGAAGAAAAGCTATACATGAATTTTCCTCTTTCTATACTGGAGCAACAGTATCAATACTGAAGGAAAGTATCTAGTGCTAAACAAAATTACTACTTTATAGCAGATGTAAAACCTACGATCTATCCTTTACAAGTAACTGTCAGCCTTTCTTTGCAACCTGGTGCTAAGATGAGTAAGAAAAAGATGAGTGATTTGCTAGAAACAGTCTAATTTGCTTAGTGACACATGCAGGAGCAAGGCTTGCAAGATCAGATACAACTTAAAGGAACTGTGAGATAAATGCACCCAATGCAGCAATGATGATCACTTTAAAAAGAAACATCTGGAAGCATGGCTGATGCTGTTTTGCTCCTGCAACCACTCTGTTTTTTATAACAGAGCCTGATGATCAGATCAGTTACTCGGGATATGAGAGGACAGTGTTCTCAGTTTTGAAACCTCATGTCTTCCACTTTCTCAGACAGCACATTAACCACCAGGGTTAGTGCTTTAATCCTCCTGTTTAAGTTGTCTCACTGTGCATCAAAAAATGTAAGCCAGACATCCACAAAAGAGTATGACACTGTGGCCTAGAAGTTAGAGATACTTGGATGGATGCAGGCTCTCAGGTTCATGTGAGTTCTTCCTTCAGAAGACTTGATATGAAGCCTGGGAAAATGCTAAATGAACATATTCTCCTTTTTGCTTCTATAATTTTAAGAGAACTGGAAGCCTGTTCTTAGCCAAAGACTCTGGAATTTGAATGCTTCTGCTCACCTTTTGGCAATTGTTCAGACTTCAGATTCATATAAAACATGTTTTTTACCTAGTTACTCTCCTGTCAAGCATGTAGATATTTTTTGTAACTCCTCCAAGGTGTCTATTTCCCTTCCTGTACTTTCTGTATAGAGAAACTGGGTTTGGGCAGGTGGCTTCCTGCTCTTGAGGGTGTAGGAGCTTGGAAACTATGTCACTATGCCTGTCTGCTTTGGATCTGTCCAAAAGTAATTTCTCTCAATTGCAAGGAACTGCTGACTTGTTCTTGCAAACCTAACTGGTTATTCCGCTATCAGACATGTAGGTATAGCCAGAGCTCCCACATACTGCAAAATTTTCTGCCTCAGACCAGCTACTTTGTCCATAGTCTCTATTTTTCAATATCTGGAGTTACAGGTAAAATAAAATCAGACAACTTGATATGGGGAAAGCTTTATTACTTGTAACTTCCTTATGAAATGAAATTTGAGCTTTCTCAGTAACCAGAAGACTTTGAAGGACTCATCTGTATTTTGTTCAGCTCTTCTTTTGTGAACATTGCCTCTCTCTACTATATGAATGTGCAGCAGGGAATTTTCTCCCACTGAACTGAATGATTAAAAACAAGACTTCAGAGAAAAATGTTCTGCTGGAAAATAAAGTTGAACATCTACAGTGCTATTCAGCTAATAAGTATTGGTTCCCTATGGTGCAGTTTGTGGGAATTGTGGGTTCCTGCAAGGTTTCTATAAAGCAAAACGGATATGTGTTTATTCAAGAATGCTCAGTTGTTGTATGACCTGTCCTGACAAGGGCTGAAAAAGAGGAAAAAGATAGCTAATAGTTTCAGCTATCAATGATAGTTTCTGCTTGAAGCACAGTCATATATAGTGAATATACCTGCCCTCTGTATGTACTCCAATACAACTGCCTCATATTAACCTTTTATTTAGTCACATTAATTATAAAGGTGACATAAGTTATTAGTAGGATTATCCACTTGGGTTAACTACAGAGTTTTGATTAAATGCTGCATATTCCTTGACATTTGCAGCAAATAACTATCTCTCAATTTCAGTCAGGAAAATTTCTGCTGTCAGATTCAGCCGTTGCCCTCATATTGAAAGCTTGCTTTATAATATTACCATCTGTCCAATGTAATGAAAGATAGATCTGGCTTTCATACTCACACTGCAATTTTTTGTAAAAGCATACCATTACCCATACAACAAATAGTTCTGACATACTGACTGATAAATAGTTACCTCCCCCTTCTCTTAGACACTACTTTGTTCCAGTAAAAGAGGAAAAACCCAATAAATATGTTAATCAATTATGTATATTGTGTTTCTGATCTATAATATACTTCAAATAACCCAGTATGTTTATTATATAAGCAGAAAATTATTTTCTGAAATATTTTACTTATTGATCCTAAAACTAAATCTAGAGCTAACATTAAGTACTTATTATTTGATTTCCCCTTGTCATTAATTTTCACAAACTTCAGATTGGTGGAAGTTTCAAAGAATGCTTGACTTTATTCTATTTTTGTTTTTTTACATCATTACGAGAATTTTTCTGCTAGGAATTACTTCCAAAGTCCCTCATTTTAAGGGAAAAAGGCAGTTCCCAAATACTTACTATCACAAGGAAAATGAGAATTTAATGCATATCTGTGACTTCCTCACACATTCTGTGTTAGCTCGGATCATAGCATCAGACAGAACCTTTGGTTGTGTCTTTTTGTTTCTAGTGTGTATACCTTGAAATGGCATAGCTGCTGTATGCTTTCCATTCTCTTTTATGTTCTAAGCAAGATATCAAGGGAGATGATAAGTACAACATATGATGCGTTGAGTTAACAAATGCTAATTTTATTTCACATAAAAAGTGTTGCTGTTAACTGAAATACAATTCTGCAGTCTTTCTTGTCTAAACTGGTTTTGCCTTCTCTGCTCTCCTCGGGATATTTATGTATAATGTAAAAAGGGCTTTATGAAGAGATTATTTAAAACACATGGAGTTGTAATTTCACTTTTTCCATTTAAATTCTGATCAAACTGTCAGACCTACTCTGTGCTAGAAAGCTATCAGGTCTTTTTTCTTTCTGTGCTTTTGCTGGGTGTTTTCAATATCAAGCTATGTGTGCTACTACGAATTCCTTGAGACCCAGAGTGTTCAGAAGATGCTAGAAATTTATGCAGTGTTATGGCTGATGGTCAGGTCACACTCATATTTTATCCCTAGCTAGATGATACCTTGTATGGGCAACTTCTTCCTCATAACGCGAGGGCTCTACAGCCCTTCCCAAGATTTTCTGGAGGGTGTTCCACTGATCCAAGGTGCTGCCCGAGTTGAGGGGGTGAGAGCTGTGTAAGTGACATACCCTATGTAGGTAGGTACATGGGCACATACATATACATCCTGTGTAATCTTCTACTACTCCCTTGCAGTAAACCCATTCCCTAATCCCTTCCAGGATGATTAGGTAAAAACTACAGACATGTAGCTACAACATGGAGGCATGTTGAAGAGCTAGGGCAGGAATCTTAAGAGCAGGGACTCAGAATATATAATCTTGCTTCCAGCTTCGAAGGACACTTATTTATTATCCTTTTCAGGATAGTCACATACATCACTCTCTTAAGTTATTCTCATGTTTCTCCCATATTACTGTCCCCCTCTATGTGTGAACATGGAAGACTTAATGGTGAATCCCCATATTCATAAATTTTGCATAAAGGTAAACTGGCACTGAGTGCTTAAGTTTAGTAGTAACTTTAGATTTACACAAAAATGGTGATTTTCAGTACAAGTATGGATGAAATAATCTCTTCCTTTAAAAGTCATGTATATTTTACAGATTGTTTTGGTAAAATAGAGGATTCTTTTTTTAAAATTTGTTTGTGTACCACTACAGGGGGTCTTTCTACCTTCTACATATCTGTTGTAATCCCTACAAAAGTATTTATAGGACAATACATTACTCCAACTTACAGCTTTCCAGTTGCATTATACATGTTTGCACATCCATTGGAAAATTTTTCAGATCCATTGGACAGGATAGTATTAAAGTCAACCTGAAAGAACACAAAAAAAAATTTAAAATATACCACAAAAGTGCCATAGAACTGCACAGGAAGAATGCATTAAAGCACTGGAAGTAATTAGAAATATAAGAATATTCATTTTTTCATTAGAAATCCCTTAAAAGGGATGTATATTAGATGAACCCATTTCACTTGCTCAACCCAGTCTGACAATATGGAAAAAATTAGTACAGTCTTTCCAAAAAACACATTTTTCAGTAAGGTTGCCTAACTTTATGCAAAGTCTAAAGGAATGAAACAACAGCATGCTTTTTTGTGCTACAGCAGAATTATTGTACCGTTACAGTACTTCAAATCCTTGTCATAAAATTTACCCAGATTTGCAAGAATTTTGTAACAGATGTCAGCTGCAAATCATGGTGGCAAAGTAATTTATGCATTATAGTCCTAAAATAAAGTGCTTAAATTGTCAACACAAAGGTTTAAGATAACATTTTATGATATTGATAGTAGATTGAAATATGCCTGTAATTTTGAACTACAGCTGTGTTTCTCATTAGTCCTGATACTTCCTGTGAAATACTTTGTAACCTACAGCAAAAGAGGTATTTTCACATTTTATACTAATACAGTAACTTATCTTTAGAGTGATACTTCTCAGAGGACTGAGACAGAAGAATGTAAGAGGTAAAAGTACACGAATAGTGTGGCCAGCAGGAGTAGGGAAGTGATTGTACCCCTGTTCTTGGCACTGGTGAGGCTGCACCTTGAGTACTGTGTTCAGTTTTGGGCCCCCCACTGCAAGAGAGACAGATGCTGGAGAACATCCGAAGGAGGGCCATGAAGCTGGTGAAGGGTCTAGATCTCAAGTATTTTGAGGAGCGGCTGATGAACTGGGGTTGTTTAGTCTGGAGAAGAGGAGGTTGAGGGGAGACCTTATCGCTCTCTACAACTACCTGTAAGGAGGTTGTAGTGAGGTAGGTGTTAGTCTCTTCTCCGAAGTAACAAGTGATAGGACAAGAGAATATGGCCTCAAGTTGTGCTGGGGGAGGTTTAGACTGGATATTAGGAAAAATTTCTTCACTGAAAACGTTGTCAAATACTGGAACAGGCTGCCCAGGGAAGTGTTTGAGTCACCATCCCTGGAGATATTCAAAGGACATGTAGTTGTGGTGCTTAGGGACATGGTTTAGTGGTGGACTTGACAGTGTTAGGTTTACAGTTGAACTCGATGATCTTAAGGGTCTTTTCCAACCTAAATGGTTTTACGATTCTATGATTTTATGATTCTATGTTTTCCCTCACTGGTCATGTTTAGGTATCCATTCATCATTAAGGGTCATGACTGCACCTTTCTTCTTGCCAGAAAATATCTTGTGTGAAAATTTTGCCCCATATTAATTTACCAGTTCAGTTGATGGAATGTTCTCCAAAAACTTGAGGGGCTTTTGTTCAATTCCTTACACATGAGGCTTTTCTAGAATGGGAGTGTTCTTATCCCACTCTCTTTTTAGCTTTGAGGCTAACAGGAAGTGGGCGGTAGGTGGCAAGCATGGCTGTATATTTCTTTTACTCTACTTTTTTTTCCTTTCCAAAGCTTCTTGATTCTTTGTTGCTATAACTTCTGTTCAGCCTGCCAGTGTTAGAACTGAAGAGGGAGAGTGCAAGGAGGGAACTCAGACCCTGACACTATCCCCCTGCTATTAAAAATGGTTCCAAATGCAAAATCTAACTAGTAGGCAAGTCATTTCAGAGAAGAGGCACCTGGACTTTACTTTGTGCTTCAGTAAATATTTTGGTATTTTATATTAAGTATTCATTGAACCAGGAACTGTAACCTTCTCATTATTTTCTTATCTGAATTGTTCCAATGCAATCTGGGGACAAGGAGACATTACGGAATGAAAAGAAAAAGCAAATTTAGAAATCTCCTTTTTTTTTTTTTTTTTTCTTCTGGTATCAGCACGTTATCAATTAGCATGTCTCCCCTCATCAAAAGCCTAACTGACTCAAATTCACATAACAACTCAACTAGATGCCAATTGTATGATTTTAGAATTGTTTCAGAAATTGTAATAGTTCTTAATTAAATCATGGCAACATAAAATTTCTGGCTCCATAAGAAACACAGGAGCTATCTAGCATCTGCTTTCATCACAGTCAATTTGCTTTTGTAATTTAATATTATAGTATTTCTCACGTTTGTTTTTTTTTCCCCCATTTCATGTGACCATGAACGTGGTCTGAATTCTACTGAAGCTGCAATCCAACCTTGCTTCAATTGAGTGGTGGTGTCTACATCCTGTGTTGTACGTATCTGGAGGGAGTAGGGCAAGGAGGAGGAGTTATTTGATTAGCGTGGAACAACTGCCAGTGCCTCTTAGGGTGACTCAGTCTGGAGATAATTTAATTCTACTTTTTACTTGGGTCCAGAGAAGGAATCATTTTTACTTGCTTTCCATCTGTTTCTAGTGACAGAATACATGTTGTGACACTGAAGAATTATTATGTTCTCAGACTAGCAAACTAACCTCCTTTTGGACATGAAATGCTCATAGGAATTTTAACCCAACCCCTTCTCCATCTGTAAGCTTGATGAGACAATGCCTTCCTCCCTCCTTCCACTTGCACTGGAAGGAGGGAGGAAGGAGACTCTCTCGCCACTGATACATCCATGCAAGTCACAAACGTTTTCTTTTTCTCTTAGTATACAAACTGTTTTACAGATTCCTGATATCTTTTCAAAAAGTCCAATTACCCATTAATGCAGTATTGTAAAAGCATGCAAAAGAGAACTCAAGAGGTATATTTATTTTGAAAAGTGTAACATTTTGCACAAGTAGGTCACTGTACTAATACCCAACCTATCTCATGTCTAATGGGGCATTAATACACTTATATCCAATGTGTTTCTCATTAGATCAGGTTTTGAAGATAGTGGTAAAATGCCTGCCAATGTTTCTATTAATAAAAGTAGGGAGAAGAGAAAAGAAGTAGGATAAGTAGTTTTTGCCAATACTTATGACTGCTGCTTACAGCTTCTTAAAACTTTGCAAAAGTTTACTTTCCACTCTTCTCTCCATCTCTATCAGTAAGTGAACTGTTCTTTAAATGTCATGCTTCCTCAAACAGGTCATGTTTCCATGTTGAAGTGCAACTGCAATATCCAAACAGTGAAAAAGAAATAACATTGGATTGCTGTGATGTTGGAGGCTATAGCGTGTGAAACTCATACATAGGCCAGCTCAAATTATAATACTTCCGGATTATTTGCTCTGTGCAAGTGTCCTAGCTCCTCTAGGCTCAGTATCTGTACTTTAAAATGGGAAATATACTTTTCTTATTATTTTTACTATGTGCACGCCTACTGACGGATCATTTTCTATTGTAGTATTAACAATGAAGAGTAATGATGATAAAGTTTCGTATTCAAAACTCAGAACTACTTTAGTGATAGTTCTGCCTGATTAGCAACTGTAAATATCTGTTAGCAATTCTTATGTACACTTTTGAGATTCTAGCTGAAAAAAAATAATCTGATTAGAGACTCACCTGATGGAATAAAGTACATTTCCATTTTTGAAAATTCTCAACAACTTGTTATCTGTTGTAACTTCATGAAAGTTGGCACCTTTTTCGTTAGCAAAGAACAAATCAGGTTTCCAAATTGAATCCAGCATGGATGGATCTAAGTCTAAAGAGTCATCTGGATATTCACTGTATGCGAGGCGTGGATCATTCCAATTCTGACGGAGAAAGATGTTCACTCGGTAATCCTGAATGAAATAGAAAACAAGCAAAGCTTTATCAAGCATAGGGATTTAGCTTTTATTTCATTTCTTAGCCATGTAATCCTCTGTCCATCTGTGGATGACAAAAGAATTACTTAGCTGAATGCCAGCATGATAGCTATTTGTATTAGTGGAGACACAATTGATAAGAATAAAAATACATTTCAGGGCAATTGACAAAAATCCCAAGCTAAAGAAATCCAAGCTCCGTGTACAGTTCATATAACTCCATATAACTCCAACCCTACAGTACCTTTGTCTTGAAATCAAAATGAGAGGTGCATAAAAAGAGTTTTATGGAGATACCTTTTCTGCCCAACTCCTGGTGGGGGCATTCCCACTTCCCTCTCTTAGGCAGTGAGAATCTGTCCCACTGTAAGAGAACTTCAGTTAATTTATTTTTTCTCTTTCTAGTCCTTACATATTTTAGACCTGCTTCCTGTGCCTCAATTCCCTAATGAAAATTGTGTGGTGAGTAACTTGCCATACAGCTGTCTGCAGAGGACACATGTTCCTCCTCTGTTCAAATATGGTGGCGATCATATAATTCCTTATTATAAATTAGCCTAGGTACAAGTGGAGTAATCTTAATTCTTACAGACAGTCCTGTCATAATAAAGGGTGCTTTTATAGAAAAGACGAGTGGAGCGTTTCAGAATTCTGCAAGTCATTTTGGAGTGGTGTATGCTGTCAATGTTGTATTTATGGCTGCACACTTTGTTAAAACTTTACCACTCTGAAAGATGAAAATATCTGGTTTTAAATAAAAGTGAATATTAGTATCTTATTACGTTATATGAAGAAGTGAGAGAATTGAGGATAAGGACATAGGGACTATATTTTTATTGGTCATAATACCATTTTCCTCATTATTTGCACTACTGCATTAATGAAAAAAGGTAAAACTAAAATAGAAAAAAAGACATGTTAGGTGCAGAGCAGGGAGCTTGCTGTCAGAGCTTATGTAGCACTTCTGAATGTAATAGAAGTAATTAACATCAATTGATTATTATTAAAAGAGACAATGAAAATTAATTTTAAAAAGAAAACTTTTTGACTCAGAATGGGAAATTAAGTATTCAAGGCTGAGCAATTTAATTTGGCCAATAACTATGGGTAATAGTTATTAGTGGTTAGGATAACTAGTTAAAACCCCACTGGCATAGAAACTGTGGGTACTGTTAAAATTCCAGTGTCATATAAATATTTGGTCTTATGAAACTTGGAACATGCAGCCATACAGTTGTAAAAATCATGCCAACAGAAATAAAAAAGGACAACGGGATTCTCAATATGCAACATTTACTCATGAGAAAGTTTTTTTTTTTTTATACTTTCAGCATCCTGATGTTTTGGTCAGTTTAATTCCTAAGCTTGAAGAAGGGTAGCCAAATATGCTAAAAACATGCTTACCAAGCATGTGTTGCTTGATAATCAGAAAATATTGCATATCATATAGAGAAAGTCACAGTAGAGGATTTTATATTCATATAACCTTATGAATTTTCAAGACAAAGGCAGTAAGTGGAAAACTACACCTGGAGAATAAAATTATTTCAGATTATTGGTTTCAACTGACACGAAAAAGGCTCTCTGGATAAATGGAAGCAAGTAACATTAAATGCCAGGTGGAAAAAGCATAGGATTCATTAATCAATTGCTTAAAAAAAAAAAAAAAGTTTCTTAATTTGTTAACCTGCCTTTCAGAAAAGGACCAAAATAAATTTCCCTTCTTTTTCATCATGGCTAGTGACAACCTCAAAAGCCATGAAAAGTTTTTAAGAGAAGCTGTTGGTATTCTCCCTAATTAGCACCATGGCATGATGGAACCAGGGATTTGTACTTTACAAATGTAGAAACAAGATTTTTTGGGGTTTTTTTTCATAATTAAGCCAAATCCCTTAGACAATCTTGTGCCTTGGTGTTCATAGAACTGAGCTTTTAGAGTCTTCCACACATCAAGAGGACATAATATCCCCTGAAATATCCATATTTCTTTGCATGATATCCTAAATATCATGGAGTACCAGTTGCCCTTCCAAATTCCTGTATAAAATCAAAGAGCCAGGAAGAAGCAGGATGTAGGAGTGAGCAGTGACAGCTCTCCTGCCTGTCCCAATATGTGGAATCATTGCACTGAAGGAAACATCAGCTGTAATCCTGGGGCACTGGGTGTGAGCACTGCAACTCTCAGGGCTCCATCTGCACTTCAGCCAAACCCAAGCTTTACCTTTTAATTTATATAACCTAAAGTATGTCTATTCTATTTATTTTACTTTGTAGAATATGATGAGTTTATGGTTGGGATTACTTACAGAGTAAGGGACTTCTCATCTGTGTAAGACAGAACAGGTGAAAAATGCATAGCAAAAAGATGAAATGAAAATGGAAAATGGAGGAAAGCAAATGGTGAATCTGTTCCAGGTTATATTAAGCTATTCTGTATGTCAGTTTACCTGAAGTTTACTGGTTTAAATTGTTTCCAGTTTTTAAGAAAAAAAAAAAAATTCTAGTTAAATTTTCCATTGATGCAATTGAAACTATTTTTCATTGTTCTCTCTCCTGATAATTCTGACTTACATTGGCTCTTATTATTCACTAAAAATATTCCTAATCTATCAAAAGAAAAGAGATACATTTGACTGCTATTGTATGAAGGACAACTGCTCATTGTCTTTGTTTATAATTACACATTGTAAGCATAAAGCTTAACTGCTTTAAACAAGTAGGGTTGTTTGATGCAAACACAGAGATCAGAATTAACTGCCCAAATTGATTTGTTTTCCTACAAGAGAATTACTATTCTCATGTGCTACTTGCTCAGAGGGGTGCCTCCTAACTCAAAGAACTCTGTGCTGAGGAAGTTCCTTGAGGAGAGAGAGAAATTACCATTTAAGTTGTGGTGACTTCCACAGCCACTTCTATAAGCTCAGGCCTGCCATCATCTGAACAGCTGTTGGTCCTTGGTTCTACAGAATGAGATTGATTTATGCTCCACTGTTCTTCAAAACCCTTAGCCACAGAGTGAACCTTCTTAGAGGGTCAGGATACTGTTCATCTGCTTCAGAGGGCTCAATACAATAAAAATTGGGAGGCTGGGTAATTGCTCTTTGTTGTGCATGATGAGGCTGAGGCCATTATGGACTCATTATGTGCTAGTAATTTCCAGCACACAGAGAAATCTAAAATACTCACAGGATACGTTGATTTCTTCTTCATTATACTGATACAGGTAGAGCTATATTCTCATAGCACACAGAATATGGCTAGACTGCTTTATGGAAACTTTTGCATAAATACTTAAGATATTAATTGCCTACATCTCACTGGTTTCTTCAATGCATTTTAATATACAGTATATTTGGAATCCTGATAGATCTAAGAGAAAGATATATAAAAAACTAATTTCCAAAATATGCCCTTCATTTGAACATTGCATATCACATGCTCTCATAATTTTTGAATGCTGTCATTTGAACCAAATCGTCACATTTTCATGCATAAATAATCTTCCAGAACTCTACCCACTGCAATTCCAAATACTACTACAATTTTGACTAATATACCCATCTAAGTGAAATCTAGATTTGACTTTTGCATAGTGCAGTCAAATGATTCTTGCTCTATTTGTTCTAGCTCACTCTAAAACTTTAACATGGCAATCTTATGGACTTTCCAAGAACACTGATAAAAGTAAATTTAAAGGCACTAGGATAAATATCGTTCTTGTAAGGAATTGTGTCAATCTGATAACTATGGCATGTTGTTGTAATGAAAGCTGGATATGGTCATCTGTTCCTAAGAAGATATCACAGACATGCTAGGAAGAGCTGCTCACATGAATGCTGAAGTGAGGAATGAAAATTAGCAGGGTGACTTGGAGTAAAAGTCAGGCAGAACTAGAGAGAACTACTAGAGTCATGGGGGAAAAGGGAATTATTTAAATGGTTTAAGTAGATGTTCCAAGGGAGAGGAATATGTATCAGGAAGAATAAGACCTAAAGGCATTAGGAAAAGGTTCTTCATCTGGAGGGTGGTGGAGCACTGCAGCGGATTCCCCAGGGAGGTAGTCATATCACCAAGCCTGACAATACTGAAGAAGCATTTGGACAAGGCCCTCAGACACATGGTGTGATTCTTGAGATTGTCCTGTGCAGGGACAGAAGTTGGACTTGATGATCCTTGTGGGTCCCTTACAACTCACAACATTCTATGATTCTATGACTCTGTGAATCCTGGTCTAAAAAAGTAACCAACATCTTGAAGAGCCACTTCAACATTAGTATAATTTCATATCTATCCACACCCTCCCCCTGCCCCAAAAAAGAAAAAAAAAAAAAGTTATCACGTGCTGAGTTATCAGGTGGTGAGTTATCAGGTGTTCAGTAGTAGTTTCATATTTCAGCACAACATTCTCAGTACATCAGTCTAAAATGGAAAGTAGTAGAGCATATGTCACTTCATTTTCCATTTTGTTTCTTGGGTAAATGAAAAACATATTGGGCATTTGGTCTACAAAATACTATAGTTGCTGTATGCATTTTATCTTCAGTATACTTTGACTTCTTAATCTTGATGTAATTTCTTACATGGGATGCTTGTAACAGAGTAATTAAAAGCCCTTAGCAGTTTTACCTTTAATATTTTAATTTTTATGTACTATTGTGGAAAAAAGTATGTTATATTTATGATTATGTACTGGGTCTGGCTGAGATGGAGTTACTTTTCCCCATAGTAGCCCTCATATCCAAAGGGATATTTCATAACATATGACATCTGCTCATCAATAAAAGCTAAAAGAAAGGAGAAGGAAGAGGGGACATTTCTCATTATAATATTTTTCTTCCAGAGCAACTGGTACACGTACTGAAGCCTGACTTCTTGGGAAGTGGCTGGATATTGCCTGCTGATGGGAAGTAGAGAATGAATCTTTTATTTTCCTTTGCTTCCACACATGATCTTTTCTTTTGCTTTATTAAACTGCA